TTTTAGACAACTTTTCAACAATGACCTCATTGAACCAGTTTTTCTCATGGCTCCTGAGCAGATCAGATCTTTCCTTACAGGCTTTCATCATCAAAATCTTATTAGATTTAGGTTGCATTTATCCAGCTAATCCAGATCTGCAGGGCCATGAGCTCCAGTCTGACATTGGGAAAAAAAATGAGTAAATGGAAATGGTGAAAACATTTTTTCATTCTGTGAAACAGAGCACAGTTCGGAGTCACTGAAAACCAGCCCCAAGTCTCTGTCCCTCCCAGCATTATATAACTTGAACCTTAGAAAGGGTGAGACAAAACCAGGGGCTTGAGCTCTTTCATTCCCCTGCTTGTTGTTAAAAGAAAATGAATTCAGGTGTTTTCATAACAAAAAGCCACCAAAGCCACAAAAGAACCCCAGATGCTATTTTCACAGAAGGGGATTATCTCACTTTACTTTGATCTAATTTCCTTAAAATAATTGCAAAAATAAAATACAGGCAGGTTGCATCCTACAAAGGTGTATGTATGCTCTCTGTATTTTTGAATCAAATTCTAGTACATGAATGAAAGTGACAAGAGGCCTTTGAACAGAAGCGGTGCTTTTACAGGTTTTTATCCATTCAGAGAAACTGGCTTAATCGATGAAATTTGTCTAACAAACATCCAGTGGAGAAATTCCCCCGACTCTGACAATGAGAACTGGACCTTTGAATAGGACCTGGCCTTTCAGTACGGCTCTGTAAAGTGGAGGCCTGCAAAGCCCATGATAAAGTAATGTTGGAAAACAGTTGGCGAGGCCCCTTTCTGTCACAAGTTAAATACGGGGCTTTGGGAAATTGCAGTATGTAGCTATGCTGAAGAGGACATGCTTTACCTGTGGGACAGCTAAATCTAGGCAAAAAAAAAAAAAAAATAATGAGCTTATTGAAACAGGGCTCTGCTGGGGCTCTCCAAATCCTTAGGGTTGCATCTAGCTTTGGGCCTAGAGACTAGGGCAGATTACTACTCAAATTTGTCAATAATATAAAAAAAAAATTACCTGGAAAATCTTAATTGATTTGTGATTTGTAATGAATAAAAACATGATAATGAGCATGTTTTCAAGACTTTGCTTTGAACAAATGGAGACCCTTAAATGCTGTCATGTGAACAATTCACTGGGCCACACTAGTTTGGCAGTAACTAAAGGGCCCAGGACTCTAACAAGGCAGCTAAACGGCATATTTCAGGGATTCTGATACTCTAATACTCGATGGGATTTGACTTTGGAATGCAAGTTTTCTCCCGCCAGCCCCCAGCAGCTTCACTTCTCCATCAAGTCCACCAACCTTGGCCCACAGATTTGCTTTCTGCAGCCCCGACCAGCTGGCCGCCGGCGTTTGGAGCCAGGGTCCTAGTGGAGAGTCGGCCTACCGGGGTACATCCGTACGGCAAATCGGGCAGGAAGGGGGTGCCAGGCCCACTTCACAAAGGGCTTTTTTGATATTAGACTCTTCTATATCGAAGCTTCCGAAGTGATTTCTGGAAAACTGCCGAGAAGAGCTGAATAGCGAAGCGTAGCAAGGGTCACTATTGCCGCAGGGAGGGGGTGAGGCCCTTGGCTGGGGAGTGGCAGCAGCACCCTTGCTGAGGACGAGCGGCCAGAGCTGGCTCCGGGAGACCGTCCAGGTGGGGAGCACGCTTGTTCCTGGCCCTTTGGTAGTAAGGCCAGGAGGAGATGGCTAGGACCAGGGACTGGATTTGGAGCCGGCACAGATCTGGACAGGGCGCTGACTGTTCCTAAGGCTTTTTACCTTCAAAGGGACAGATGCATAGCCTCTTAGTGTGAAGAAACAGGAATTTTTCCCCTGGCAGTGCACCGTTCCAGCAATGAAAAGAATAAGGGACAGCCCAGGAATAGGGATTAGATTTTGGATTTCACTGGGGCAGGGAACTCCTAGGAAGGGGAAACTCAATGCCCCATAGCACCTGGAGCACAGAGTGATCGCCAGCCAGTGGGGGTCAGAGCAAGGACTGGAACCCAGGTCTCATCTACTCTGCTATGCTGTACGTGAGAACATGCCATAGGGAGGCATACTTCTTCATTAAGCTAAAGCATTATCTTCTCCAGACTTTTGCTCAAAATGCTTAGATTCTACCACTCTCCGAAGGGTGAAGTTTGCTGTCAGGACCCTCCCACTTCCTTTTCTGCTTTCTTGTGGCCACCTTGGGACCCTGGGCTTTCTAACAATCCCATCCCTCTCCTCGCCAGCCCGGCCTGGGCAAAGCTCTAATGCCCCCAAGAACAACCAACTACACAGAGCTCCTCATTCATACTGTGGTGTGAAGGATTAATAGTCTATGTTAGCTCTTCCATGGCTCCTTGCATTTTTAAGAGTAGATCGTCAACCCGTAGCATGAATCTCTGCTAGGGAAATTTCAACAGTTATATTTGAGGGAGGAGGGCACTTCAAGGTGCCCTAAAATGTAGTTAGTCTGGCTCCCACAGCAGGGGAAATGATCGGGATTTGCCTTTTATCCTTCAGCCCAGAGTAAATGCTATTCATTTTCTTTTTTTAATTTAATTTTTATTTTCAATTCCAAATTCTCTCCCTCCCATCATCCTTCCCCCACTCATTGAGAAGGGAAGAAATATTATACTCATTATCTATATGAAGTCAGGCAGAACACATTTCCACATTATCTATGTCCTGAAAAAAACCCCCAAGAAAACTAAAGGAAACCAAACCAAACCCACCAAACTTCCATCGGCATTCTGGGGTGATCAGTGCTTTATATGGAGATGGGCAGCATTTTACATCATGAGTCCTCAGAAGCTAGTGTGGGTCATTGTATTGATCCCAATGACTAAGGCTTTCATAGTTGGTCATTACTACATTGCTGTACCTTGGTCACCTGGTTCTGTTCACTGCATTGGCACTAGTTCATATCGGTCTTCCCAGGTTTCTCTGAAACTGTGCCCCTCATCATTTCCTATAGCATTCATACACCACAGCTTGTTCAGTCATTCCCCAGTTGATGGGCATCCCCTCCATTTCCAATTTTTTTGCCATCACACAAAGAGAGCTATCAGCATTTTTGTGTAGATAGGTCCTTTCCTTTTTTTATCTCTTTAAGATACAGACCTCACAGCAGTGTTGCTGGGTCAAAGGGCACGAATAGTTTTATAGTCCCTTGGGCCTAGTGCCAAATCATTCTCCAGACTGGTTGGACTCATTTTTTTTCTTGAATATCTTTTAGTTCCCTTTAAATTGACTGCATGATATAGGATCCAGAAGGTGCTCCAGAGTCCTCTTCTCCACTCCTCCCATACCAGGAGATGAAGAAATTCAGTGATCTGCCCGAGATCTCATCCAAACACAGATGGCTGAGCTAGGATTCCACCGCCACAACTCCCACCCCTATTCTAGCCCTCTTTCCACTTCCCTCATCTGTAAAATGGGCATCATGATAGCTGCATTACCTGCCAGTAAGGGCTATGGTGTAGATACAATGAAAAATCAGTAACTGAAAACAAACTAGAAACCGCTGTGTTAATGTCTGCTGTCATTGTCCCCATAATTCACTGGGTCCCCCCAAATGCATAGCATAATGTTGCTACAAATAGTACTTCAACCCAGTACAATGAAAGAACCTCCTATCTGTCTTCAAATGAAAAGGTGCCTCCCCTTAGCCCCCCACTTGTCTAACTCTAAGTGCTGAGGCTAAGGTGGTGAGCTCCATATTGACGGGCAATGATGGATGGCAGTACACATATTGTCGCCTCAAGGGTACAGAAAAGGTAGGAGCGGATCCTGAAGCTTCCACTGCCCAGCACAGGGAAAGAAAGATGTGGAGAGAGGGAGCCATGCAGGACGTGCTCCCTGGAGGCAGTGACCACTGGCCCAAGCTGCCCTGGTGAGGCTAAGAAGACCAAAGAGAGGGCATCCTTAGAGACAAAAGGAGACACCCAATGGCCCTCTGAGGGTCACTCCATTACCTGCTCTGCCAAGAGACAGGGACAGCTGCCCAGCACGTGCTCGCTAATGCCACTGAGACAACCTTCTTTGGGGCAGAGGGTTTCTTTCACCTTACCGGTTGCAGAGCATCGCTGTCTGATACCCAAGTTTTTAGAGTCTGAAAAATGCTCTTGGTTTGAGGAGCTAAGCCTTTCAGAAATAAGTCCAAACCTCTCTTCTGCAGAGACAACCTTATTCCCTAAAGGAAGAGTTTGTGTGGATTTCAGTCAGGGAAGTTGTTTATCTTTGATTCACAATGACAAACTAAAAAGAATGTCAGTGATCGGTATGATGGAGTCAAATGCAAGTTTTAAAAAGACACAGATCAAAGTCAAAACCAAAACCAAGACATTTTACAAGTATCCAAAAAGGATCACAAGGTCATTAGTAGAGCGATGTTTCCTATTGCCTAAGCTAAAGAAAGTCATGAAACAATGAACTCATCGACTCTTTCCGCCTTCAGGAAAGACGACCTGCAGCATTTTGTCATCTTAATTCCTGCCAAGTGAAACAGAAATGGCTAATGAGTGGTTCTCAAACCTTTTAGTCTCAGGATCCCTATACAACCTTAAAAATGACTGAAGACCCCAAAACTTTTATGTGTGTGTTCTATCTACTGAAAATCATCACATTCAATGAAAAGTCTTAGTATTGTTTTTTTTAACTTTTTTTTAAAGTCTATTTTTTTTTTTTTGATGAGGCAATCAGGGTTAAGTGACTTGCCCAGGGTCACACAGCTAGTAAGTGTCAAGTGTCTGAGGCCAGATTTGAACTCAGGTCCTTCTGACTCCAAGGCCAGAGCTCTAGCTACTGTGCCACCTAACTGCCCCCTTAGTATTGTTATAAACATAGCTTTGACCCCATAGAGCCCTGTGAAAGGGTCTCAGGGACTCTGGACCACACTTTGAGAACCACTGGTTTATACACAATGAGTTTTTAAAGCTCCACTGATTCTGAAATGAAATGAAGACTAAACTAATAAAATGACAAACAGTCATTCTGATACCTCGGCAAGATCTGAAAAGAGGGCCTGGCTCGTGTTCCGTCTCAGCGTATCCCAGTAGCTTCTGGAGATGAGTTCTCCTGTTTTAAGTACCTGTAGAAATTGCAAGAGGCACAATAGAAATCTAAAGTGGGATCCCCAAGAATGACAGCTCCCACTCTTGGAAGCTCTTCTAACCAACTTCCAAAGAGAAGAAAACCACACTAACTCAGCCTTCGGTTGGGGGGCTGCCCATTAACCTGCAGCACTTTCAATGGTCAATAGTGTTCTTTTGATTAAAAGTCCTTGCTGACTTTGTCAAAAAGAGTCAGCCCCTCTTTTTTTTTATGTGACTATGACAAGAAACATCATTGCTGGTCGGGTGTGATGTGAAGAAGGCCTGGAGAGCAAGGTGTCACATGCTGGTGACATATGTACCTCACTGGGGTGATTCTCAAAGGGATCTCCCCAAGGTGAGGGATCCCTGCTGATCTTCAGAGAACCCATTCTGGGAGTCACAGCCTCTGAAGGAAGAAATGCTGCACCTTCCAGGGGGTGGAAGATCGAATGCTTGGCCAAAGTCCCCCAGCCATCTCTCCTGCTGCAGACCCGGGGAGGAGCCCCACCAAGAGAGAGCTGGCCTCGGTCAGTCTGCAGGGCTTCTGACTCCGACAGGCTGGGCAGGTCACAGAGACCCCTCAGGGCTCCCTTACACTGCAGACACATACACCAGGTGCTGATTGGTGGGATACAGGTCAGAACACACACATGCACATGTATGTAAAATACACTGATATGCATGCACACATACATATACGCATAGACGATGACAGTGACGACGTGTCCTTTATGTTGGAGTGTAACTGGGAAGATTTCACCAGATCTGTGGGGCATTTGTTGTTGCTGTTTGTTTGCTTACTCTGAGAAGCGCCACCCCCCCCCAAGCCCCGCTCTGATGCTTCACCCCAGTCCAGAGGCCACTTGGGGCACTTGAAGCCTGAGGTCAGGCAGCAAGGTCCAAGGCTGGGGGATGATTGCAGATGCCTGAGGAACCAGCCTAGATGGACCCCTCAGAGAGGGTCATCGCTGGATAAGTGACAGGCTGGTGGATTCTTTTAGCCACAGAAATGCCTGAGAACTTCTGCTACAGGGTGAAGGGAGCTGCTATCTGTGTCAGTGTAAGGAGAGCACCTTTATAGCGCTGAAGTGGGAGGGGTTCTGTCCTTTCCCTCAAAGTTTCTAGATTGTGTTAATAGGGATGTGGTGTCTAGAATCAGGGTGTGATCAGGGTCCTGCTCTGACCTGCCCTGGCCGGGGCCCACCAGGGCACTGTGCTCAGTTCTGGGCATCCAAGTGACAAGGTGGGTATGTCCTCAGTGCACTGCGCAGGAAGATAAGAAGCCTGGAAATTGTATGACATGAAGACTGCCTGAAGGAGCTGGGACAGCGATCCCAAAGGCCAAGATTTTCCAACAGCCCACAGCCTGCTATGTGTCAGAGACACTGCCCTTACTTTACCTGGCTCCAAATCAGCAGAGTTTACAGGGTCACAAGTCTGTTTAGATGGCAGGAATGCTCTCCCACCACGGCTGCCTCCCCCTACCTGCAGTCTTCCCACACAGGCTGGGTACCTCTCATTGATGGGGCACAGGAGGGTAGGAGCCCATGAGTCTGTGACCGCCCAGTATTGAAGAGCGTGCCAGCCCTCACAGTAATCACGATACAGTGACATGGATAAACATACCTGACATTGTAGGACGGGGAGAGCCATGGGAGGTTTGAAGGAGGACAAGAGAAGAGTCACTTTTTGTATTGGGGATAATGAACCAATTAGGGAGGAATGCTCTAGGGGAGGCCCCATGGAGAATGTGCAATAAATGGGGAGCAGGCCTAACCAGCGTGGCTTTGTGCCTCCTTCCAGTTCCCTGAGTAGCCTGGGAGTAGAGTGGACGATGTGGAATGGTGGGAGCCATCCAAAGGTGGGTATGGCAAAGCATGACAGCAAGGGGAGAAGGAGATGAGGACCTCGGAAAGAAAAGGAGGAGGGCAGTGCAGAGACAACCTGATGGATTCACCGAGGGGTCCAGATGGCTAGGAGAGTTCAGCCAGTTGGGAAAAACCAAAGGCTGTGTTGAGGCCACTGAGCCTCCGTCTGACGAGCAACACTATGGCATGCAATGCTAGTCTGTGGCAGGAAGTGGCACCTTCAGTCTTGTCTCTCTACCCTGCCCTCCAACCTGAGCATGATATCTGACCATGGCGATCAATTCAGAGCAGTAAAATCATGAAGTCACTAAACAGTCCCATGCAGTAAGTATTTAAAAACTCTTGCAGTGTGTTGCAGGTGCTCTCGGGATCTAAATGAGATTTCCTTGTGTGCCTGTTCCTCATGGCACTCATCACTTCTTTCTCAGCAAAAACTCCCCCGCTGTGAGACAGTGCATTGATATAAACTAATCAGCCAAGTCAAAAAGGAAGTGAGAGCCTGCCTTCCATTTCAGCATCAGCCTGGTGGTGATCCTTCTCTTTAAGCGATATCGCATGTTTCAGAACTAAGACTTTTGCCTTGGTTTAGTCTAAAATCAGATAGATAGCCTTCTCTGCTCTTCATGCTGGGCTCCATAAAGATTCTAGCTTTTGTGATGACGAGGGGGAGGATGATGCTGTTGCTACGTCTGGGGGTCACACGCTGGATTCTGGTCCCGAGGTGCTTCCCAGAATGCCTTGGGAGTCCCTTTCAGAGTGGTGGCAGGTTCCTCAGGGAAGCAAAAGGGCCTCTGGTCGGACACTGAGGGCCCTCATAATACAAATTCAAGGGTCTCTTTTTTTTTTTTTCCATTTTTTAAAGGCAGGTGGGGTTAAGTGACTTGCCCAGGGTCACAGAGCTGGTAAGTGTCAAGTGTTTGGTCTGAGGCTGGATTTGAACTCAGGTCCTCAACTTCAGGGCCAGTGCTCTATCCACTGCCAAGGGTCTCAACGTAAATTGGCAGTGGTCCTATAGTCCTGGGGAATTGACCATAACCTGTGTGGGGCAGCTGGGAACTCCTCAAAGACTGCTGGGTTTGGTTTTTTTTTTTCCTTAACTATGGCATCTGAGACAGTGGAAAGAGACTACACACGTCAGTACTTGCTTGAACACGTCCTTGAATGTAAATGCTTCTATCACCCGGCCTGGCCGATGGTGTCCCGTTAAACACAGAAAGACCAAAGGACAGACAAGCTCTGCACCTGGCAGCCCTCCAATACTGCCGGGTCAGTAACAAGAGATTTACGACAAAGACTGGGAGGAATTCACTGAAGACCACCCTGGTGATGAGCCCACACACCTCCTAAATCTATCAATCAGCCAGGTACTGTGGGGTCTGGCCAACGGGCCATGACACAACTCCTGGGCATTTGGCACTTTGAAGAGGCAACAAACTCCAACTTGTGGGAGAAGACAAGAAGATGGAACCGAATTCAGCATAAGGGGAATGGAGAATTCAGAAGCTTGTTTATATGAATTCTGAATGTGCAAATCCCTTGGACAATTCATGCTGTGAAGTATTCCTATTCTGTTCTCCCCATTCCTACTCTCCCACCTCCCAGATGCTTCTCTTAGGAGGTGACCTTTCCCTTTGGTTAGTCTAAAATCAGATAGCGCCAACTTTCTCTGTCCTTAGTATGAGGCTCTATGACCACCCAGTCCTTAAAGGGGCAGCCTAGTAGTTAGGAGGGGCTCCTTTTCTATAAGGAAACAACCTTGTCAGCTCCCCTCCCCCCCATCTCCCTTCCCCCAGCGGCCCTCTGCCCCCAGCCCGGTGAGATCCAGAAACATAAAGAACATCGAGAGGGTTGGTACATACATTATTAGGAGAGGCATGGAGTCCATAAAGTTGCACACGCTGACACACAGCACAAAGGGCCAAAGGAAGGGTCACATTTCAGAACAGCAACAGGAAAAGGAAAGATGACAAAAGAGTCGGTTAGGAATCCGGTGAGCCACTCAGCTCCATTCTACACACAGCAGCCTCAGGCCAGAGCGTGATGACCCTCGGTACTGCAGGGCTCCTAAAGCTGGACTGGCTCCCAATACCCCCTGGCCTCAGCAGGCTGCCATTAGGGATGGATCTGGGAACTCCTGCCAAGTTGGCAGCAGCCTGTGGGGTCCTTTGGGTGAGGGGCCACTCTCTCTGCAGAAGCTGTGGCATTAACCACAGACCAAAGGGGACCTTCAGGCCAGCTGAATGAATGTTTGATGTGGGCTCTGTAAGTGATTCATTCAGTGATTTCTATTTCACAGTTTAGCCAAAAACTCTCGAGGAGTCTGCAGAAAACCTTAGACTTTGGGAATCAGGGACTTACAACGACCAGGACAGGGCTAGTGGGGGAGCGGTGACTTCTATATCCCCTCTACAGAAAGGTTTGCTAACTCATCAAACAGCATATACAAGACTGGGAGGGGGATACTTAGCTACCTGGGGTGGAAAGCACCCAGAGTGGGGAAGAGACAACTGGATTCTGAGACAGCAGATCGAGGGCCAAATCCCAGGTCCGACACTGCCCATCTTGGGCAGATCACCATCTCTCTGGGTGGCATTTATAAAACGAGGGGGCTGCATTATAAGGTTGTCAAATGTTCCTCCAGCTCTACGCCTAGGATGTGCTGAAGAGAAATAGCTCTGGGGTAGTCTTTGGAAACAACAACGTTTCCATTCAGCACTAGAAACACTTGTTAAATGCAAAGCTCTGGGCTAGGGGACGTTGGAGACACAAGGCAGAAACAAAAGAGCCCCTGTCCTTGGGTGGGGAGTGAGGAGCTGCCACCAGATACAGAGAAGGCAATCAAGGAAAATTTGAGGAGGGAAAGAGCACACGTGACAGGGGTGAGGAAAAGCCTTCCTTGGGAGGGGAGGGCACAGAGCTCAGCAGTGAAGGAAGCTCGGGGTTTTCAGATGTGGTACTAAGGAGGGAGATGGGTAGGAATGAGGGGCACTCTGGGCAGTCTGTACACAGAGGTGGGACGCAGACTCTCCAGTTCAGGAAACAGCAGGGAGGACCATTTTCTTGAAATGTGGAGGACCTGAAGGGGAATAACACGAATTGTGTGGGAAACATGCGGAAGTCAGTGGTAGACTAGTTATCAGGGTGGGCCACCTCTAACCCTGGAGACATAACCCTGGAGAGAGTTCCTGGCAGCTTAAGGAAGTTACGTGACCCACCTGTGGACATCCAAATAAGTGCCAGAGGCAGGATTTGAATTCAGATCTTGTGGACTCTAAGCCCACCATTTGGTCCATGACACCAGAATGCATTTCCTATCTATGCATTAAAGCAAGTCCCCTTGTCACCTATGCTAGGTAATATCTTGTTAGCCTGGTTCCTGTGTCTAGGTGAAAGTAAACTCACACAAACCCCCCAAATTTAGACTTTTCCCTAATTATGAGAGGCCTGCCCTGGCTAGTTTGAATTCTTCTTTATTGCACTGAATATAATGCATGCCAGTCTTTGGTGGTTATCTGCCCTGGTGCTTTGGCCTCTCTTCCCTTTGGGGATGTGCAAAGGCACCAGGTCTAAAAAGAGGAAGACGAGGGCACAGGTCCCCATGAGCCTCCCAGACAGTGAATGGCTGGCAGGGCCCTGGATCTGCTTTAGTGGAGGAAATGAAATCTCACCCTCTTCAAAAGTCAGAGGAATCAAAACCATTTTTAAAGTATCCTCCTTGAGTGATGTATGTGCTTATACATACATACACACCTGGGCAGATATATGCACTCACATATCTATCTCTATATATCTGTGTTTTTAAAAATGTCAAAACACTGAGAGTAACTAGCAATCTGCAATTGTTTTTTATGAGGCTGCAGCAGGAACAGCAAGTATCTGTCATTTATACCACTAATGGGCCAAGTGTTGGCCCAAGTGCTGAGCCCTATAGACTGCCGTTCATCTCCAGCTTGAGGCTTTACACACATCGCACCCATGCCTGGAGTCCTTTTCCTCTTCAGCTCCTCCTAGGAGAATCCCAAGAAGTCCCATCAACACCCTCTCTCCCTTTCCCACCCGTCAAGAGACTTGGAATTCATCCTGCATTGGGGAAAGGAAACTCTGCCAGAAGGGAGACGGCTGCATTTTTTCAACTGTATCCCCAACATCCAGCTCCTGCCTGGGCTTTAGCAGACCCTCAAGAAACAATTCTTGAATTGCACTGGGGCAGTTCCTTGGGCTCTGGGGCAATGGTCTTTAAAGTGGGGCTGTGGCCTGACCCTAAGGGGTCTGTAATGAATCAGTCAAAGGGTAGGAAGATGGGCCATATCCCATGCCAACATCCTCATAATAGTCAACCATGAAGCTCCTTTCCAACACCACCATACCTCCCCATCATCTGTGACAACCCTATCCTCCCCAACTCTACCCTCCTTTCGCAGTTCTCCTGCAGGTTTCCAAACCCTTCTCCTGGTTGGAGAGCAACAGTGGCCCCTTCAGGGCAGTTGTGACTTCACCCTGAGTGATGCCATTGGGAAGATTACCCTTCCCAATGTCCTGCATGCCCACTGAGGGAAAAAGAAGTCTGGATGGGGGTAGATGATTCAGAAGGTTGGAGACCACTGCTCTAGGCACTGCGATTAGGTGTTATTCAGGCAAACTTGGCCTCCTATCTAACCCAGGGGCACAGTAGGAGTCTGGACCAAGAGCCTCAGAAATGGCCCTGGAGGCACAAAATGGATGCTCCCCCTGGGCTGGTCTGCCTACAGCTCTCCGCCCTTCTAGGCCCTAGCAGTCCTTGAGTTACTGCAGCTGAGAACCTCACCTTCTAGCGATGACTCACTGAGCTTGGCCGACATAGAACCTGTAACCAAGCTTCCAATCTGGCCCAGCCTGGGGGAGGCCAAGCGAGAGGAAGACTTTGGCAGAGAAAGCTCCCTAAATGTAAAATAAATTCATCTTCACATTTTTGCCTGCAGAAGGTCACATGCTTTCATTGATCCTGCTGCCACCCAAAACGCCTTAATGGCCCATCGATGTTTCTGGTGACAGTGACAGCCCCTCCCCATGCTAGATAACGAGGCTGACACCTGGTACCAATGCATGTACCCGCTGCAGCCTTGGCAGTGAGCAGGAGAGAAGGATGCTCTAGGGCTCAGACATGACCAAGGCCCAGCACAGAAGGGTGGAGGTGCCCTTACCAACAGCGCCCGCTTGTCCTCATCTCCTTTGGCTTCTCTCCTTTCATTTTTCTTCCTGAATATTTCTTGAAGCTGAAAATGATAAAAGTCAGATGTTACACTTCCTGAGGCCTTACTCTTTGTTAAGCATCTTCCCCTACCTGCTCTGATTGCACAGACATTCACCCTCCTTCTAACAGCCCTGGGAAGGGGCAGAACCAGGTGTTATCCCCCCATTTTATGGAGGAACAACTGAAATTTGGGATGAATAGTAATGGCATCCTGTTTTACTCGA